TTYMAAKYTTTTTTCTCRAAATACAGCCAATCATTTAATATTTTGCTTAAAGCGATAGTCCTTTCACTGGTAATTCATTTCAGTAGCAAAATGCAGTCCTGAATACAAGAGAATGCAACTAGAATTCCTATATTATTTCCACAGGGAATGCCAACTGCAGAAGAGGCATATAATTTCTTTGTTAGTAGTATGGACACTGATGACATGGAAGCACCAACAGAYCAGGTACGAGATTATTCATGCTATCCACTTGGAGAGTGGGATAAACARAYGGRAGGGAAAAAGTAAGGATGGTTGGACAATGAAAGAAGGAATGAAACAAAGGAATTACTTGAAGAAAAGAAAAAGATAAGAAATGAATGGAAGATGGAAAGAAAAAGCAAGTGTATGAAAAGATAGAAAGGGAAGAGAAGAAGAGAAAGAGGAAAGAAAAAAAGAAAGGAAAGACAAAAGGAATGATTAGAATGATGTGAGATGGAAGGAAGCAGTAATACATGTATTGACAAATAWACAGCAATGGTAGTAAAAGAATTTTCATTCCTTGTAGACTCAAGAACTTCAGGATCTTGGAATCCTCTTTTGGGGCAAACCACCTCGTACCCCAAAATCCAAACAACTTGAGATKGAGTCAGCACTTTACAAAGTGCCTAGTGTCTTGCCTGGTAAGTTACCAGATTGAAATAGTAAACATAGATTAAGCTACTTTTTAAATGATTTACGTACAATATAATTTTTTTGGCAGTTCCTTTTGAAAAGAAAGTTCCTGAAGGAAGGCAGCCAAGATATCTAGAAGATGAAGGATTTTATGTAGGCAGACCTCCCCCTGTYAGCTTTGCTAACCTCAATGTGATGGAAGACAGACTTTCTGGAACTGATAAGGTATTAGTGTAAATTTATTNGATTTGATCATCCATTTTCCCATGCATTCATCCATGTTCACATCCATCCATTCTTTTCCCATCCATTCATTCTTTTCCCATCCATTCATTTTCCATTAATTCATTTCCCATCCATCCATTCTCCAATACATTCATCAACGTTTCCATCTACTTTCAGTATTGAACTAACAGTTGGTCAATCAAGTGCTGATAGCCATGCAGCGGAATTGGATCAAATCCTTTCGTCATATAAGGTAATCGCAAACCGAATCCGCGTCACGACGCCGGAAAACAAGTCATTTATCCCTTGTTCTTTTACTTTCTTTCCAGCTTTCTGGATTTCCCATCAACATGCCGTTCACTGACATTCCCCCTGTACTTGATGCTGTTTATAGCACAGGGGTACATACTATAGAAGACCCTGATATAGAATTCGCACTTGCCACCCATATACACCCCTATCCTCACGGAGTTATGTCCCTATGGGTGTATGTAGGGACGTTAAAGCGTAAAGGAGCTTATTGAGATAGCACTGAGGTACCCCTATCCTCACGGAGTTATGTCCCTATGGGTGTATGTAGGGACGTTGAAGCGTAAAGGAGCTTATTGAGATAGCATTGAGGTATACCCCTTTCTCCACTAAGCTATGTACCTATGGGTGTATGTAGGGACGTTAAAGCGTAAAGGAGCTTATTGAGATAGCATTGAGGTATACCCCTTTCTCCACT